TTTAATTAAATTTAACATTTAATATTTTTTAAGTATTATTAAAAAGTATATATAACTTACTTTAATTAAATTCTACATTTAAATGCGACTGTTATTATTATTTTTTTGAAAACAGTTGCAAAGCAAACACATGTGAAATAAAACACATTTATATATTTATTATATAAACATTGTAGATTAAAAATGCTTAATTAAAACAGAGTTAACGAGTTTAAAATGTATATAACAAATTCTATTACGTTCCATCCTATATTTGAGGTTACAACAGGTCGCTCTGTTATATTTGCAGATTGATGACTAATTGGAAAATCAAGGATAACAGGCATGAAATACTTAAAAATCGCGTTGTTCACGTTCAATCTATTAATATGGGTAAATAACAGCATGCACATTTTGTAACATTATAAAATATATATTAAGTTTAGAAATAGCGACAACGTGCCACGAGCACTTAGACGCAGATGCTCAAACTATAAATAATTCTGGCGTAATTCTGTACTTCAGAGCAAAACAATCATTTTTCATACTTTGTATTGTTCTTGATTGAATTAAATTCCGATTCTAACTTCTGGCGGAAAGCAGAGAGAATTATTTTAAGAGTCGCGTCGCTTAAATTTACGTGATGTTTCGAAAAGTATAGTCCTCTAAGGGATACAGAATTACTCTCGTCGGTCACGATAAAGAAACGATTGTAAATTCATTGCCTTTTCCTTTCGGCAGTTGGCTGGTTGTACGGTCCTCGTTATAGGCGCGTGGTTACTTCTGGAGCCCAGCAAAGGACACATCCTGAATCTTTTCGTATCTGATATTAAGCCGCACGAGACTATCAATCTGATAGCTTACAGCCTCCTCGGGCTTGGCTTCATCGTACTCACGGTTGGCTTCTTCGGTTGCCGCGCCGCGCTACGCGGAAATCAATGCATCCTCGCCACCGTGAGTGAAACGACATTTTTATTACCTCCGCCCCTTGGGGGCGCGCGTACCATTATAGACGTCGGGTCAGGGTCGGTGATGTTTTTATATCGGTGATTGTTTTTCCACAGTACATGAGCATGTTGATCGCGCTTATCATTACGGAATTGGTGACGGCTGCGATCGGCGGATTGATGACTTTCCAGATCCTATCGGATCTGGAGGAAAGACTCTCCAATAAACTAAAGGTGGATTATGGTCACGATCCGAGCAGCGATCTTCCCTTCAGCCACAGTTTGGACTTTGCGCAGTATAAGGTGTCGTACCAACAGAGCTGCTCGTTTGACTGCTCATTGGTCTTTATGGCATGTCTTGTCATTGAAAGAAATCGCTTATTTTTGTTATATAATCTTTTTCTTAATTGTGATATATTTTGTTCAATCCGTCTTGCGTATAATTTTTCAACCATCAATATTAATTATGAATTTTTGTACGTTTCACGTGAGATGTCGAGTCCGCGGATACGTACTTTCCAGATCGCAGCACATCGTAATTGTACCTGTGCACGGCACACTTTAGCGAAATGATACGAAACATTTTTTTCTTTTTTTTCTTTAAAATGTTATATTTACAATTATTTCGTCTCATTTTCCCTGCAGCATGTATTACGCGCCAAAAATGCGCACGTAAATTATGTTTCATGCATGATGGGGTCGCATGCGATGCTTTGTCAGAAATCGTCTGCCCGATGAGACATTTCGCGATGGTTCGAAGAGCACATGGATGATTCCATTGCAGTTTAATTGCTGCGGTATATACGGCGATGACGATTACAATGGCACTGCTTGGTGGAGGGACGCTCAAATCTCGGGAAACAAGAGGCAGGTTCCCCTCACGTGTTGTGTTCTCAAAAATAGCGAGGTACATGTTTGAATTGATTGATTCTAAAACAACATATATGGATATTTCTGAAAGTTGAGAGAGTTTGTAAAATGTTTTGAAAGCGAAATAATAAAATATACAAACACACAGTAACGTGTAGTCACATACAGTGTGTAATATTGATGTTTAGAGATCTCTTTTGAAAACCATATAAGTTGTGTATAATGTATATTTTTCATATTTTGATTGTTTTATAAATAATTTAATTTTCTGATCTCTTTTTAAACTGTTCTTTATCTTAAATGTCTAGTTAAGATCCACGGTTAGTCAGTAAAAGCGAGAGTTTCTGTTTTACAGAATAAAAATACAGGCAGCAGCCCAATGAGCGTTGTATCGAGGGTGTTTCACAAAAATGTGAGTAAAATGTGTCGGCGACGAAGCGAATGTATGAACTTTATGTGAGTAATCTTTTGTCGCTGGCAGCTGAACGAGAAGCCATGGCTGCATCCGCAGCCTAAGGATGAGGCCGCATGTCAAGTAGAAGACGAAGAGGGTCACGAGGGATATAGGCATAAAGAGGTAAGTACGCATCATGCCGCGAAGCATCATGCCGTTGCATGTACAGTGCTGCATATTTCAAATGAACAACGCGTTTTCTCAGGGCTGCCTTGGAAAAGTCACGAACTGGCTGCAGTGCGAGAGCTTCACATTAGTATTCCTCGGTATGGCAATGGCAGGAATACAGGTGAATCTTTTTATTATTTTTTGCAAGCTCTTGGAAGAAACAATTTTGAAGAAACGTAAAATCAAAGATTCGTACACTGTAAAAAATAAAATGTCAATTTTAATATTACAGACATGCAAAAATTAACATTTCGTTTTTTACTGTAAATGTAATTTTACTCAAGAAAGCGCCTTTGACTTTTCACACTTTATAAAATATTGTATTTTACAATAAATTACTATTCTTTATTTTAAGGAATTTTTTATATCTTTTTGAAATAGAGATTGTAATGAATTATAAATAATAGAACAGACTTATCAAATATTGTTTTAATAGTTTCCTCCTCGGTTTCCTCTTTTGTGCCTTCAATATTTTGTAAAAAGACTTTATTTAAGAAAGTGCTTTTGATCTTTAAACTTTATAAAACGCCTTTGTAAAAATTTTATGGTAATTACTCTTCTTTATTTAAAAGAACTTTTTTGCATTTCTTTTCAAATCGATTATAATCGATTATAAATAATGGAATAGATTTATTAAATATTTTCTTAAATTAAATCCTTCTTTGCTCTTATATTAAAAAAAAGTAAAAAAGAAATAATCAAAATGCATTTCAGACGTTCGGGATAATAACGTCCGCTTTCCTCTGCCGAACGATAAGAGATATGCAGGAAGAATGATCCAGGATTCGTAGTCTCAATGAAGTAAAGAGAATGTCGTGGCACGTCCAATCTTTACATTGACAACTTTGGGAGAAGAAACATATTTATTTTATATCTTCGGTATTGCTACTTGGAAGATTGCCGAAATTCGTTTCGGTTATGTGAATTGGGACATTAATCGGGATTTGCAGCTAGGAAATATTGCGGGGAAGAAAGTAATCTAAATATTTGTTCTATTCCACAAGGTGTCTGTTCATTGAGAACTTCGAATCGAAATAACAATAAGTGCTACGCTTAAATTTAGATCGATTTCCACTCCTGTGCGCGTTTTGCTGCCATTCAGCAATAATGTGACCAAAATACACCCTGCTGTACATACAACTGTATGCATCTGTGTCGTGTTCAATCTAACTAATACTAATAAATAGCGATGTTATCGCTGGTGTTAGTACCTCACGACGACCATCGGGGGAGTTTGGCTAGCAACGTGAATTGTTATCCATGGCGTTCTTATCGTCTTGTAAATATACTTGCCAAGAAGAATGGATATATGCGCTGCGTGCGTGAGAACTTTCGAGTTGTTTTCTTTTTTTGTGGAAAATTTACCTAATTTGAGATGCAAAATGATTTTTCGCACAAAGTTGATGCACAGAGTATATGAATTTTTGAAGAAATATCATAATTTTTAACAAATAAGATATTTATGTGAGTATATTTAGGGGAGACTGAGGCTGATTGATGTATTCTATTAACAGACTGTTAAATGATGTTAGTAGTTCAATAAAAAACGCGCGTTACAATCATATGACGCTAATCCGCTGTGACTGAATTTGATGAGTTTTCAAAGTACGTTTAACTAGCCTAGATTCTTAACTATAAATCGAATTAAAGAAATTACAAAATTTCATTTACTTAGTAAAATGTCATTAAACACGTTTTTACGTATATATATTTCTACTTAGCCTAATAATATATGTTCAAGATAGTGCCAAAATAATCTCTGTGTTTCGAAACTTGAAAAAAAAATTACAAGTTTTGATCAATCCCAGCTTCTCCTAATGAACGTATATGTTAGATCTTTATAGCATTCGTCGTCCATTTCGAAATGGATGATGCATATATACATATATATATATTATATACATATATTGGTGTAAAAAAATGCGTCATATATATTCTTTAAGGAAATACTTTCCTCTCTCCGACACTAATTTTCGAAGAATATATTATTACAACTTGTGCCAAAAGAGTTTATTATACAATGAGTAACTTTTAATATGTTTTTATTTTCTCAAAATACTTGGCAAAGCGAAATGTCCTGCGTTTATAGAACGCATCTTAATGATAATAAAAATGTTGTTCTATGTGTAAAAATTTGTTATTTATTTTATATTCTTACAAATTTATATTCTATCACCTTTAAAATTTTCAAAATTATATCTATTTACAGAATCAGTAGCTGCGTTATTGTAAACATACATTCTTAACGTTAATTTTATAAATTGTATTCGCTTAAATATAACAGTATCGTCGTATCGAATAAATCTATCAATTTGATATATAAATTATATTGTGAAATTATTAATTAATAATTACCCGATAAGCTTTCTTCATAAAAATAAACATCACGGTCGTTCAGCGGTTGAACCGGTCGACAATTCAAAAGTAATGGGCCCTCTACTGAACAAATTTTTCGAAATTTCTCTATCTGTAAATTATATTATACGACGATAAAAAATCTAAAAAATACTTTAGTGACATATGATTCTACCTGAGACGAGGAAATAGCGATTGGTTCTTGCTGTACGATCCATGTGACAATTTCACTACAAGGTGGCTGGCTAAGAGAACCACTATATGTATAATAATCTCTGTCAAAAGGCGCGAAAATCCATTCTAATGGAAAAGGAGGTATGTAGACTATAGATCCCGGACAGGTAATACGCCACAAATTGCTTATGATATGATCCAAATAAGGATTATCTGTGTCATTTATCTGCGTCATCGTCAAATGTATCATGATAAGTAAGGATAATTATGACGAATCACTTTAAATATAGTACAGTACATTTTATTGATTTAATTTCTTAATACTTGTGATAAAGCATTTATTTGTTAACAAAAAGTGTACTTGAAGCAAGAACGAAGTAATCGCTATTCCGTCTTTTGCTCCAAGCGCGATCGCATCTGTTGGCGATTTAAGTCCACGTTTTACATGAATAATTTGTAGTTCCATAGGAAAACGGACATAGTCTAAGGTATGTTCACTACCCTCTTCATTTGATGGACCCCAGTGAAACATAACATTAAAGAAATCATATGTATCAGTTAAAGGTCCCCCTTGGAGTTGCGGCCATGTGGTACTAGTCCAGAACCCTCGAAGTATTACTGTATATTAACATAATGTTAAACCTATATCATTAATATACTTTAATTTGTTTGTAGAAAATTTACCAGTATGACCATCATTTGCAATAGTCATCGACAGAGGTCCATTGTTATAATTGTTCCATCGAAGTGGCTCAGATGGTTGCACTACTACAGCGAGCCTAGTTGTGATATTAATAGGCGATTGATTGCTACCAGTGCTCTCAGGATATAGATCTTTCCATGTATGAGGACCATTCTGATAAGCAGCATAGCCAAACGAAAAAGTGGGTGGACGATAATCATTTTCCATCCATGCAAATAACTGCGTCCATTCCAAAATTTCAGTTAATAGTAACACTAACGAAAGAAATTTAATATTGTAAAAATATTTCAGTTATTTTAAAAATTAAAACCTCGAACCGATGATTACAATATTAGAAAATAATTTTATCATAAAACTCTCTCTCTTTCTCTCTCTCTCTCTCTCTCTCTCTCTCTCTCTCTCTCTCTCTCTCTGTGTGTATGTGGAGAGATTATTATTTTATAATTAAATCACTGCTTTTTCTGAGAGATACATACCCATAAGTAGAACACTGCTGCACGCAACCATACATTCTACTAACGAAAAACCCAACATTTTTATATTAAAGCTTCCCTGACATTTGTATTACAAAAGCTCGGTGTTAAAACCCACGTGCGGTATTTCCGACGTAATAAATTTTTAAGTAAGCGGTATACTTCACAATTTGTCCGATGTTTCATTCCGCACTAATTTCTTTAAAAAATATTTAGAAAAGTACGAAATATAATGTAAAATGTCAAATAATTATTACCATCAAATAATTTTTAGGAAAATTGATATATAAAGCTTACTTCAATTTATAAAAATAATGCATGGTGTGAAGTGATGTGAAGATAATTCAAAGATTACGATTCAAAGATTATGTATTAGTAACTTCATGGTTAGTAACATCATGAGTAACTTCTTATCTTTAAATAATCTTTAAATTGACAATTACTTATTTCATTGCATGACGTAATCATGCAATTACTCAGAACTTATTTCCAATAATGTCATCAAAATAGTTACGATATTAGTATCAATATTTTAAAAATAACATGTCGCGTTCAAAAGAGATGAAAATTTAATTTTATATTTCCTTCTGTTTAAAAGTTCGATGTATTCATCGCGATGCACAAATGACATCCAAATTTAAGAATGTCCAATCACGTAAATAAAAATTTTAATCTTAATAATGTTTTATAGATAAAAAATTTGTCATAGATATACTTGTTTAATAGCTGTATAAAAATGTCCTTATTATATTTATGTAATAAATTTTATTTTTAAGTGCGTTCTACACAAGAACAAAAATTATGCACCACGTCATCTTCGGGTCTTCCGAAATGGCGGCAATCTCCGATCGATATCAGTCGCGTTGCAGCGTGGAGTAAAAAATTTCCCCCATTACTTTTGACAAATTATTGGTCAAACAGTGGTACAGCGATACTCGCAAATACTGGAAAAACAGGTTTCATTTAATATAAATTCCGAACAATACATTACGCATTTATCGTTTAATAATTTTTAGTTAACATCGAATTGGCGAATAGGAGATTGCCGATAATGCGTGGCGGTCCATTGAAGGATGATGAATATCAATTTATGAATGTACAATTCCGATGGGGCCCGTCCGACTGTCGAGGCGCGGAACATTCTATCGACAACATTTGGTTAGAGATATGAATTTGATATATATTAAAAGTTACTAACTATATGTGAAAACACTATACTAATATTTTTTCATTTAATTAAAATTAAAATTAAAATTATATTTTATTTTAAATAAATCACGAATTTGTTGTCATAATTATGGGATCATTGCAACGTAAAATAACGGTATTTATCAAGGTATTCGATGGAGGCCCAAGTCATGCATTGGAATACGCGTTATGGATCGATAGATAAGTGTTATGACAAATCTGATGGAATTTCAATACTCTCCTATCTTATGCAGGTACAATGGCCAAAAATTAATTAACATCCGACCTGAAAAAATCTTCTTATGTGATAAAGTTTTATTTTTAGAATAACATTTTGTTATATGCTGTTGTAATTTAATTATAATGTTTAATTGTTGTAAAAAGGTTGTTGGTTGTCCTGGAATTTCAGACAATCCTGCGCTTGCCCTAATCACTCATAAACTCCCAGAAATAAAACGAACGGGTAGCACCATAAATATTACTCCGGGTAATTACATAACATGAAATGATCTTTTTTTTTTAATAATATTAATTAAACTTTATTAATCACACAGAATAGATCATGTAATTGTTAATATGTTAGAGTTTCCTTTTTTGTTCTTTTCATTATAGCAAACATTGAGAGCAATTTTCTAAAAATTATACAACTTTATTTTTTAAATATACTTTAAATACATGTTTTAGAATATACATGTATTATTTTTGTAATATTCGATAATTTTTTTATTTCCATGATAGCTTTTATTACGTAGAATATTGCTTACAACATCAACATTTTTTAATTAATCATGTGCTTATTTACAGATTGTTTACGTTGGATGATGCACGCATGCACTTATCCTGGATATTATACTTATACAGGTTCTCTTACTTTCCCTCCGTATAATGAATGCGTCACTTGGATAATCGTGCCAAATGCTATAAAAATATCCTCCAATCAGGTATATTAAAAGCATATGTGTATTAATTTAAATTAAAAAATTATTTACAGTTTCAAATATTGATGTACACATTATGATAATTTACATTTATCATAGACTGAAGCATTTAGAAGCCTCTACAATCATAAATGGGAGCATATAGTAGAAAATTATAGATCACAACATTATCTTCATGGAAGAAGGATTTTCTTTGCCAAATGATGCAGTAGTTTGATCGATTAAAGTATATCATCGTTAAAAAAATTAATTCAACCAGAAATAATTAAACTTAATTCTCATTAAACAAACAAGCATGAATAAATATGAAGAAATAATTTGTTGAATATATTGTTTGTGCTCGCTTGCATGCTTTAATCCGGCATATAATATATATAAAATAAAATTTCCTTTATATATTTTTATTTTATAAAAAGTATGAATAAGAATTTAATATTTTTCTGCTAATATTGCGAAATTTTGTAATTTGATGATATATTTTCATATTATATTTATGACAGAGAGAAATCTGAGAGAATACATGAGAGCATTCTTCCCGTAATCGCAAAAATG